AAAGCTGATGTCAGGGTTCCTGAAATGAATAGTTCTGAAGTGCAGCCGGAGGCTTTGGTGAAGCAGCGGTTTCTCAATGAAGCGATGTCATTCACTGGATGGGGATGTGCTGCAGGCAGCTGTGGAGCACCCTGTGAAAAGAGAAGGTTCTGGGAGGGTCCTGTGAGACCTTTTCCAGGCAGTCCTTCCCCTTTCTCTCTTTCCCGGGGAGCTCTGCCCATAGATGTCTCTTGTGAAATGCTTTGCCTACAGTAAAGGCTTGGAGAACCTCCACCAAGCAAAATGTATTCTTTAAAAGTTTTGTTGACAGCTCTTTTTATCTCAGTTTATAGAGGAACTATATACTCTAAGAAAAATGATGAGATTACTTGGTGAAGTGTAATAGAAGTTCTGAAATTCCATGAAAAACATATCTGCAATGGGGATAACAAAGTCTTATGCCAAGAAATTTGCTTGTGTATGTGTATGTGGTTTGCATTTTTGTAGCTTCCCTAGAGATAATCTCTAAGTAAGTTGATCTTTACTTTGTAAGTTGGTCTTTATTTCACAAATGCATCTTGCACTTAAAAATGTACTTAATCTTTGCAGGCTTGGTAAAGTGATCTTGCTTGAATGCTTTTGACTTACATTTCTTTATCACACTGTCATTCTTCCAAGAACACTTCTCATCTTCAGTTTAAATGATAGGATTCCTTTTATGTGAGCCGAAAGGTGTCACTTGACAAATTACAAGTGTTTTACTGAATTAATTGCATTTGGGATGCTTCTTGCTTGGATTAATAGCCTGTTTTTATTTGTGGTTCTTTGTTTTAAAACATTACCTCTTTGTATTAAAACATCACCTGCGAGTCATGTAACTTACGATGTGTTTCGTCTTCTCATAAGCAGCCTAACACTAAGAGTTCTCACTATTTTTCTGTGAAAAGCCAGGTGTTTGAAAGCCTAATTTAATAAGCAGTGCACTCACTGCACCACTCTGATACGACTCAAGATCATGACTGGAAGACAACTTGAGGGCTTTCAGTTGCATGACTGTGCTAGACCTGCTAGTCAGGGTGAGAAAGAAACTGCTTCCATATCCTTTGTAACTGAGGGAGCTGGGAAGGCGCATAAATACCAGTCCACAGCTGGCCTGTCCTCTGGGAAGCTGCTGTATCTCGCCAGCTGTCCCAAGGTTCGGCATGTCAGGAGTCTTCCTGCCTCTGTTGGTGAGAGTAGCAGGATCTCCTATGCAGTTAAACACTCAGCTTCTTAGCCTGCCTAACTTCCTGCCAGGAAGCAGCTTTAAATCCAGGATTTCCGCAATTCCTACCTAATTTCAGAGTGATGTGGTGGTATCATCCTCCATGTGGAGCAACCTTCTGTGCTGTTCTTGCCAGTGGCCGGAACAGACAGATTAGGGCCACCATGTTCTCACACTTGATGCTGTTTGTTCTCCCTTGAATGTGTTTGAGCATCTTGAGTTCTTGTATTCTTATACCTGTCCACGTCATTCCTTTGGAGAATCTGCAGTGGTCTGATGCTGTCGTATTTCTGTAGCGTGGAACAAAAGCATAGTGAATGAAAATCTGTGTGAGATGTACCCTGAGTATGGACTGACTTCAAATAAAGGCAGAAATGAGTTGATATACCTGTTTTATTTTCCTTGAAGTTTATCTTTCATGCTAGATACTTAGAATGCTCTACCAAAAGAACCAGTCTCAGCCTTAAGTCTTTTGCAGCATCTTTTATCAAGTCTTAAGAATTTCAGTTCTGTCTCATCTTTCTCACTTGGCACAGGATATTCAAATCCAAAAAGATGATAAATTAATGCTCATTTTCTTCTTTTATGATGTTGTTGCAAGATCTCTGGGACATCTGCATTGGTGGGAAGAATACAGCCTTAGTGCTGTGCCAGGTTTTGTTTGTTTGTTTGTGTTATTGCTGAGAAACTATCAGTATGGTTTCCCAGTTACATCTGAAAAATACTTCATGGGTTATATAACGTCTGCAAGTGGCTGTGTGACATACCAGACCTGTATTTTCCCTTGAAGACATCTCATTCTCTTACTCTAAATGGCTAAACCCTAAATGGATTGATTTGAGGGTCATCTTGTCACATAGCACTGCCTGAGTTCACTCAAGGCATTAAGAAATTGTCCATATTTGAAGACAGATACTGTGAAAATCAAAAGCATGATTTCAAACTTCTTTATGTTAGAATTGCAGGAGAACAAAAAAGGACAAATTGCAATTGTTCTGTGCTGAACAGAATTTTTCCATGTTCTTCCCCTGTCATGGGTGATTTTGGTCCCTAAAATGGGCTTTTATGTAGGAAAGGAGAATGTTAAAAAGATTGATGACACTGTCATATATAAAGACATTTCGCTTGGTGACTCTGTCCTGCTGATTTCCAGCAGAGCAAGGCTTACTAAAAATAATAAAAAAAGTATTTGCCTGAAAAGCTTCTTCATTTGGTTTGCTTCTTAAGTATTTGAAACTGAGAGAGGTCAGACCATCCTGGCTGTCAGCCTTTGTATGATGTATTCAGAAGTTTAGAACCTCTCATGGTACAGAATAGGGACAAATGTTCTTTCACTTTTGAGTTATAAGACATGAGTTGCCATCAGGATGTGTTAATCAGTTTTTTACTGTATTTGTTGAGGTGTGTGGTGAGTTGTGTTTTTGGGGGGGGGATGTTTGTTTTCTTTTTTGTTTTTTTTTCCTTTAAGAAATTGAGTTACTTTTACTTTCAGAATCTTAAGAACCAATAGTAATATTTGAAACAAAGTACAGTGTAGGAGAACCTCATGAGATTTTTCAGCTCTTTCAACTGGTTTTCAGCTATTCCTACCAAGTAATCTAAGATCTCACCTAAAAAGAAACCAGCATTTATTTTCTAAACTCACTGTAGTTTGATATAAAGAAAGCTTCATAAGTGTTTAGATACACTGAGAATTTTCAAAATATATACCCGGAGAAAAAAAATTATTTGGGAAGATCAAATGGATCAAACTGAATATGGAAATTTAGACATTTGATGTACATTTGGTGATGGATTATTTTTGCATGTTGGCAGGCTGTTAGACTGGCAGGGGCCTGTTGTGGTGCAGTTCTGCAGAGTGATGGCTCTGCTGGTTTTAGGCAGAGACCTGATTTCTGTAGACATAACCTGTAGAGAGACCTGATTTCTTTGGTTATGAGTTGTCATTGTGAGCTGCAGGGAAAGCAGCGTAGCCTCTGACTTTAGTCTTGAATGGAGATGGATCCTTTCTCCATGCTGCACTCTCAGGGCACGGAGTTTGAAGCTGATGTCTAGCAATGTACCCACATCACACCTGCATCCTAACTCAGAATGCATCAGAATCAAAGGTGCTGCTGCTGTCGTGTCACTGCCCAAGTCCCATCTGGTGCTTTGGCTGGGCCTGCTCTGTGTTGTCCAACTCCACTGTGCTGCTGCTCCCACCCCTGTGTCTGCTGTGGCCTGTGTGTGTATTTCCTCTGTTCTCTGGCTGTGGGAACATAGAGGGATGGAGGATGTCTGTCTGTCTGTCTGTCTGTCTGTCTGTCTGTTGGTGAGTCTGTCTCAAGGGGCACTGAGGAATGGGTACTGGGGGTTATGGGCCTGGGGAATAAGGTGAAGGAGACTGACTGCTCTGACTGGACATCCAGTGTGCCAAGGAGAAGAAGAGTCCTATCTTGCATATATAATAATTAGTAAATTAGAAGATGCCGCCACTTCCAACTTCACAAAAGCCTCCTGCTCTGTGCTAAAAGCCAATTAATAATATCATGATACGTGTTGGAATATTGTGAACTGTATTGCTTTTCATGATTGGAATATATATTTCCTCACTAAAGCTCCTGCTTAGTGGGTGTGGAAGTGAATGTCTTTCATGGGCAGTTTTGACTTCTCCTTAGTCTTTATTTGATGTATAGCTTTAGCTGTAAAGTTGAGTTTTCATAGAATCACAGAATAGTTTGGGTTGGAAGGGATCTTTAAAGGCCATCCAGTCCAATCCTCTGCAATGGGCAGGGCTATCCTCACTTATATCAGGTTGCTCAGCCCCATCCAACCTGGCCTTGAATGTTTTCCTGTATGGGATATCCACCACCTCTCTTGGCATCTTGTGCCAGTGTTTCAGCACCCTCATTGTCACAGTATTCTTCCTTGTATCTAGTCTAAATTGACCACCTTTCCATTTAAAACCATTGCCTGTTGTCCTGTTACAACAGGCTCTGCTAAAAAGTTATTTCTCCACCTTAAAAGCTCCCTTTTAAGTAATGAAAGGCTGCAATAAGGTCTCCCCAGAGCCTTCTTTCTCTCTAATCCTGTAGGCATAGCAGAGATGTTCTAGGTCTTTGATAATTTTCCTTGCCTCCCCTGGACTTGCTGCAGCATATCTTTCACATCCTTGTGATGTTGTGGCCCCAGAGCTGGATGTAACACTGCAGGCGGGGTCACAGGAGGGTGGAGTAGAGGGGCAGAATCACCTCCCTCCGCTGCTGCTTTGGATGCAGCCCAGTTTTCTCTCACTTGTGGATACTAAGATGTTCCAGAAGCTACAATGCCCTGGGGTAGCAGCAGTGGAAGGGCACTGAAAGGACAAGGAAGTAGGGAGAATAGGAAGAATATGAAAGAGGCGTTTGTAAAAGACAATCAAAATGGAAAATGAGAACAGAGTGAAGAGGGCATACAGGAAAAAAAAATTCAAAGTTTTCTAAGGAATAAGGAGGAATTAGCCATCATTTAATGAACATAATTTTGCCAGTAGTCAGAAGGACTGATTTGAAACCTTTTATTTGAAAGTGTTCAATTGTGTGCACAGAGATGTGTGAAAAGAGACTCTATTGGACATTCCTCCAAAATACTCAACTTTTGGTTCTTACTCAGTATCAATTTGAGGACTGCATGTATGTTTGTTGAGTGCTGACTTGAGTTCTTATAAAATGTTTTTAAGTAAAAAGTTTTAAGCAAGTGCACCAATTGTAGATGTTTACTATTAAAACTTTCTTTGTAGGTAATTGCACTTAAGAATGAACATTGAAGACAAGCTGGGAGGATTATTTCTTAAATGTGGTGGCATAGACCAGATGCAGTCATCCAGGGCTATGGTAGGGATGGGTGCAGTATCTGACCAGTCTGGAGTATCGAGAGAACGGCAAGAGGCAGTGCTTCAAGATCGGACTATGCCGCACCAAGAAATTCTTGCAACAGATGAAGTGTTACAGGAAAGTGAACTCCGACAGCAAGAGATGATTTCACATGATGAACTCATGGTCCATGAGGAGACGGTAAAAAATGATGATGAAATGGATGCGCAAGATAGACTTCCTCAAGGGCTGCAGTATGCTGTTAATGTCCCTGTAAGCAATTTCTTTGTGAAATATTGGAGAGATTGCTAGGAAGCTTGATCTGGTAGTCTAATCCTACTCTGGCAAGAATCTATTAATTGCTTGTTTGGATTTTGATTATCAAAATATTTATGTCATTTGCCTCTGGCTGTGGATAAATTTTGCCAATTAAGTATAATCTTTAAGTATCTGTTTTATAAATATTTTATAAGCAGGCTGTTATCATAGAACTAAAGCGTTAAAATGTGCTTCTTTAAGGATATTTAATGCTCAAGGGTAACTACAAACTGGAATAAGTAGTGTTATTAGAAGGTGCATACTGTTTATGCTGTTAATAGTACTTTTTAGTTGCTTTTGCTATAGGAAGCATCTTGTATGTTTTTAAGGTATGTGGACGCTTAGCAATTGCATTCACACTGCAGGTTGGACTGTGACACTTCATACATGACCATAAATATGCCCCTCCACGATATCTCATACAAGGCATACCTTGGCTTTCCCAGAGAGCATAGAGATGACTTCCTTTTGAAAACAGAGCATCTGTCTGTAATGCAGCACATCATCACTGTTACCCTTCAAACATAAAGGACAATCACCAGGGCTATAAAAGTAGATAGCCTTACACACGAAGAATAATCTTCAGAAACACAGCACTGTTAGAATACTACTCTGTTAGCTGTAGATCAGGTGGCTCAGGTGTTAGAAAAATGTAAGAGTATCATGGTCTTCATTAAAGTTCACATTAGATTGAGATTTTTTTATTTTTTTTTTCCAGAACTTCATTAGAACTAGTCTTGTTTTTGTTTTTTTTCCTTAAAAATACTTCTGTCTTAAATATATAATAAATTATTCCGTTAAATCTTGCATTGACAGCAGCACGGACTGAAGTAAAATAGGTGTGAAAAACTGAATGGTTTTATAGATGGAAGTGATTTTAACATATGAACTGATCTCAAAATCACCACAGGTCAGGAAAAAAGACCTTGGGAGATGAATGAAAGGATACATCAAAATGTTACTGAAGAAATTAACTGTGCCCTTTTTATTTAAGATACATATTAATTCTTTCACTTAAACTTCTGAAAGAGTGAAGCCAGAAGATAATTCCCTTAGGAAAAGGTTTTCTGTTTCAGCAGTTTGTCATCTTCTAAAATTGAAAAATTGCTTTTCTGTAGTGAGAACCTTACCTGAAACTGGCACTTGGTATCTTAACAGATCAGTGTAAAGCAAGAAATTACCTTTACTGATGCATCTGAACAACAGAAACGAGACAAAAAACAAATACGAGAGCCAGTAGATTTGCAGAAAAAGAAGAAAAGAAAACAGCGTTCACCAGCAAAAGTAAGACATTGATTTGGCAAAACCAAGATTAAAAGGACCTGAAGATTTGGTTGACTATGACTAATTTCATTAGCATTTGAACTAGTTAGGCTGGAAATTGTTTGTTTGCTCAGTAAAGATGCAGTTCTGAAGTTCACCAGAGACCCAAAACAAAACTGATATAACAGTGTTTTTCTTTGAACTCCTTTTAGCAACATGAACTCTTGGCATATTTTAACATCTGTCTCTCCAGGCAGTTCTCTCTCCAAATATTTTTTTTAAAATTATGAGTCAGTAGCTTTGTAGACCATTTATAAATCATTACTCTGTATCTATCTAATAATAGGTGTGCTTTTCTGTGAGCCTGATAATTTTATATGCTTCATGCATAGTAGTGAAAAGTTTTTAAAAAGAAAACTAAAATGGTAGTTTTGAAAATTCTAAAAAGTTTAATAATATATATAAAATAATTTACCAGTAAGGAAAATTCCTGTGATCATAATCATCTTCATATATGTATTTATTTATATAAAAAGATTTTTACCCTAGCTGCTGGTTTGTTACTTAAAAATTTGTTTTGTAGATCCATTCATGAGGAGTATGTATCCCTGTATGTCTGAAAACAATTTTCTTTATGTTATCACACAGCAGCATTAAAATAAGCCTACTCAGAAATCAACCCAGACTGTTTGTACATCAAAGGAAAACTCACCGTAATACAAGGAAAATCTCCCAAACCTCCTTTTTGTTGCCCTGGGAGCAGGACCCTCCAGTCCTCCTCAGAGCACTGTCAAATAAGGTTGCACCTGTAGTATTCTTGGAAAGCTGAGAAATTGCTTCAGATTGGGTGTGGAAGCAAGTTCCAAATGCTATGCATTTTTTTCTCACTTCTCCCTTTGAGAGAAAAAGGAGATCTAGGTTGAGTACATCCAGAGATCACTTCCATGGAAACATGGCAAGGTAGAAGAGGCGTGTGCCCCTCTTTCTACAGACGTGTACTTGCATGCTTCCTTTTTATCTCCCAGTCTGCCAGGGTTAGTCTTTTGAGATGACAAAAGATTGAAAAATGATCAGGAGAATTGTTAAACAGGTTTTTTTTTTCAGTCTCTCTTCCCCCTTTTCAGAGCTGGCAGAGTAGAAAAAAGCTGAAGGACTGACCTAGGTGAGAGCCTACTGCAGTTTCAGTATTTCCAGAGTAGTGGGGTTGATTTTCCATCAACAGCAGCTGGAACTCTGACAAATGGAAGTCAGTTAACATTCTGGAACGTTATAAGTTCTATTTTATATCAATGCAGTAATCAGGGAACGAAGAAGTCATTAGGTATCATGACTCCTGCCTCCTGTTCCCTCTTCCACACACACACACACATGCACACACGGACACACACGCACGCGCACACACACACACGCACAAGCTTCTTTGTTGCTTTGGTTAGGGAAGCTGCTCTGACAGAGTTAACTCTCATCATTTAAGAGGTGGTACAAGGAGTAGATTAAGTAGAAGAGCCCAGGTTTAGGATAACCATGAAATTATGTGTATTTTCTGCACAGTTATTTTAAAATTTCAATATAATATATGAAAAGCATTTCATAACATGTATTTAAATTTGTTTTAAAGACGCAGTCGGCTTCATCAGCTGGATAATGTTACAGAACAGAGTCTTTACAATTGTCTCTAACTGTGACTGGAGCTGTAACACACCAATCTTACAAACGTATGAATGTACTTGTCCTTCAGAGTGAATGCACAAGAATTTGTTAGTCTGAGACTTTCACTCTTGTTTTGATGCAGAATTTAAAATTAAGTAGATCCTATAGTATTTGCTGCTATTTCAGAGATACTGTTTCAGTTATTGACTCTCTTTCTCATCACTGTCATTATCATAAAACCTAAAGCGCTGTAGTTAATCAAACTGCAGATGTGTTTTCCCATCATACTTTTATTTTTTGTTAATAACAAGGGACTAAACTGTATTATTTAAGGTTCCTTAAGCTCTTCTTTATAGTTGTGTTTGCAGTTAAGCAAGACTTTTATAAATGTAATTTGTTTACTGGTTTTCTTATTCTCTTGCCAGAGATAGTAGAGATTTTGGGGTTTGGTTTAGCTTTCTATTTTTATTCTTCTTGATAAATTAGAGAAAACCTGTAATTAGCTTTATTGAATAAGGTAGATGTGGTGCATTTTTTTAATTTAAGTTTTTTTAACCTTATATGAAAATAGCGGCTTTGTTTGACAGCAGAGCAATTGAGTGTGGCCAGTTGAAGTCATCAAGGAGATGCTTTAATATGTATATTAACTGAGCAATACTTTATTGAGTGAAAAACCTAAAAGGGGAGAAGAATAATACTATTCTCTTGGTTGTTTGGCTTTGGGATTTTGGTTTTTAAATTATAATATTACCTTTAAGACTATTGGTATTATATAGATGTAGATAATATATATGATTATTCTGGTTAAGCTTTAATGACTTTTAGCAAACATTTAGAGTTGTGATTTGAAAAAAAGAATATAACTTTTCACTTTTGCTTTAAAATACGATTGTCCATGGTTTAGTGCCCAGGAGTGGTTTGATTACTTTGCATCCTTTCCAACAGACGGACAAAATAAACAGTAGCGTATAAAGTGACTCAGCTGTGCCTAGGGACGCTCTAAGCTGATTTTCCATGAGCTGCTTTTGTCTCCGTCCTGTTGAAATAGCTCTTAATGCACACCGAGACACGGGTTGGATTGGACTGCAACTGGAAATGTGTATTAGAAGCTTAACGCATAGTTTTGTAGAAATTAGCATTGTTTTACCTGAAATATTTGCATTTTCTGCATCGAAAAAATTAATGTTTTTTTTTTTTTGTAGTTAATAAGACATCTTTAGAGGGTAGTGTGAGAACAAATTTTACTCTTTTTAAAATAGATCCTTACAATAAATGAGGATGGATCACTTGGTCTGAAAACCCACAAATCTCATGTTTGTGAGCATTGCAATGCTGCCTTTAGAACCAACTACCATTTACAGAGACATGTCTTCATTCATACAGGTACTGCTTGACTTCAAATTTGTCTTTTCTATTATATAAAGAGTTGTTTACTTATGTTAAAAATGTTTTCAGCTCTATGCGAATTTCAGTTTTAAGATTGTAGCTAACTTGGCATCTAAGCTTAGAGATTCCATGCACCAAAGTGTCAAAAGAATATCAGAAAAAAAAAAGAATCAACATATATTTAATAAACTGAAGAGCTAACTGTTTACAAGGTTTCTTTTCTTTCTTTATCAGAAAGTAATGGGTTGACTTGTAGCCTAAGTGCCAAAAATTGACCCCTTTGTAAAATGTGCTGCGGCTGTTTATTTGCCAGATGAGGTATCTCTCTGTTCGGAGAAGTGAAAAAGGTACTTACTGTTATAATAGCTTGCCAGTATCCTGAATGCAGTCTATGCCAGCATCCTGATTGATCTTGCTCATGAGGAAATTACAGCCATTCCAGATCACTCTTCTGTGCTAGTGTTAATGTGACTCTTAGGATCATGGAGAGAACTCTGCAGTTCATATCCGTAGTAAGGCAAATGTTTTTTGGTATCAGGGTATTTTTGGAATTCGCTCAGATGCTGGTGTTTTTAATAGACATTTTAATATTCCTCAAAAATAGTTATCAGAAACAACAGTGTGTAGTTATTAACTTATGGATGTGGAATTATATTGTTCAAGGTGAAAAACCATTTCAGTGCAGTCAGTGCGACATGCGTTTCATACAGAAGTACCTGCTACAGAGGCATGAGAAGATTCATACTGGTGAGTATAGTGCCTTGAGTATCTTTACTGGCGTGCTTAAAAACTGTTTCCCCACTCAGGCAAGGTTTCTGGTAATAAATATGCAGCCTAAAACCCTGTCATAGTTTGTTTTAATTTAACACCTGTTATAAAGTTATAAAGCTTTTTAAAAGAAATTAGTTTTGTGCTTTCAACTTGTTCCACTTTCCTTTGGCTGTAAAATGAGTATGAAGTCCACTAAGCAGATCTGAAAGTAGTTTTCTATAAATAACCCCAGAGCAGCAAATCCTGAAGTTTGTGCATTCATAAAAGTCAAAGTTCGTTAACCAGTTCTGTCTTTCGTTGTATCAAGTTAATTCAGACAAGGGGGACTTCCAAATTACATTTCCATAGATTTATTTGTTTGTTTGTCTGTTTGTTTGTATTTGAATTTGATGGAAAAGTGCCAGGACTAAAATGGCCAAAATGCCTAACCCGAAAGGTATTAGTATCAGCTTTTCTTTTCACATTTTTTTCTTCTTTTGGGTTTAATTCAAAACTGTTCTAAAAAGAAGAGTCTTAGTTTAAAAATACGCAATATAGGTCAAATAAGGCCCGAAGCTTTAAGCCAAAGAGAGTTAAAGTTTATATATGTTTAATTTTTTTATCTTGTTGCACCACACAGAACCACATTCTTTAACAGGTTTGGTTTCATTGGGTTTTTGGCATTTTGGTGCATGGCCTTTTAATCCCTCTTTAAATATTTTGTAATATGGTCCCTTTTGGACTAGATGCCAATTTCTCAGCCTCTTTTTCAGAAAAGCAGAGCTGGTGAATGTGCACAGTGTTTCTTGGCTGTAGCATTTAAATGGATATGAAAGCTACTAACACGCAGTGCAGTGTGTGCATGTGGAAGGGTTGAGAGGGGAAAAAAAACCTTGCAAAATGAATTTTCAGAGCAGCGTACAGGGAGTTACATGCACAAATGCCCTGTTGTTCATGGGATTTTTGTATCCTAGGTTGCCATGAGTCCAGACTAAGTAGGTTTCCTTCAGCCAGTCAGGCACAGAAGAGTCTTCCATTCTTCTGTCCAGTGTCTTTGTTCTGCTCCTAGTCTTTCCTCTGGCTCTGAATTGGTGAACCATGCTGCCTCCACTTTGTGTAGATACTTATTCTTGAAAAGAATGCTTATTCAGTCCCTTCCATCTATCTACCCCCAACAGGCAAAAATTTAAGTGCAGTCTTCACATTTTTTAGAAGATTTTTTTTTTCTTTTCTTTTTTTTTTTTTTTCAAATGAGGATTATTCCCTGTACTTGGCTTTGAAAATGAGAGTCTGGGAAATACAGTTAATTAACACCTGACTGCAAATATTTTATAAATTGATTTAATTATCTTTTAAAATTTAGGTTCTAGCTCTAATGAGGAATCTGTGTCGATTGTAAGCTTTGGAGGGAGGGGGTGGGTGTGGTGGGATTGTAGGTTTTTATGCCAGCTCTTACGTATGCTAGTCTTTGTTTAACAGAGAAAAAGGTACCTAATTTAACTAATTAACCATATTGTTATCTGACTTTTTTTAGATAACTGTGTTTCCTCCTTTCCTCAGCATCCTGAGGTATAGTTTGGTTGTTTCTCAGAAAGTAGAAGATGGTGCTTGTGTTTAACTTGTTAAATCATGGATGTTTTCCTAGGTGACAGCTAGTAATGATTAGGAGAAAACACATAAAACCCAGCTTCCAGGAGTGGCAATTTTTTTTTCTGAAGGCTGTTTAGTTAACAAGAATTTAACTAGTGTTTAATTTTTGGCTTTTCCCAGTTACAGTGTAGCTAATTGGCACTGTGCATACCTGTCTGTGCTTTCACCTCTGTATGACAGTGTTCACTACTGGCCCTTAGCTGTTTGTGTAGTCAGACTGTTGTTCAGGGCTGCATAACTAAACCCATCCAGAAAAACTGAATTTTCAGCTTGCTTCTCTAATGGGAAAGTGAGCAGTGGGTCTGTGTTTTACTGTGATAAAAGTAAAGATCTGATGGTATTATTCATACCCAAAAAATGTTTCTTAACTTTATTCAGTACTTTTTTTATATTACATTTTTATCTCCATGAATAATATCTCCTCTTTTAGTACCAGCTTTTGTACAGTGTTCAAAATACTGATGTGGAACAGGAAATCTCTTTCTCTTTTAAAGATTTTTATCAAATTTTCCAGTTTATTTTAAACCAATGAAGGAGAGTAGTAACAGGTAGAAGCCCCATTACAAGCATGTTTCAAGCCCCCAGTTACAGGTGCCCCAGCTATTTCCAGTCTGATTTGACTTTAGTTCTCTGAACCACTCCTTCAAAGAAAATGTTGTGAGGGGGTTAGGAAGCAATCAATGAACAGCCTTATTCTGTGTAAATAATTAAACAGTTGCATCTAAAAGCAGACATTGCATTAATACAAAATTTGCTTATAATTGTGTGTAGAGGAGGGCAGCAGTGTTGGAACCCTGCTGCTAAACTTGTCCCTAATGATACAGAAAATTGCTGTTTTAGTTGTAAGAGAGGGAAGAGTCACTGGTACGAAAATATTTTCTGTTTACGAGGTTGGAGAAGATGCTGAATGTTCATTTCTTTTTTTTTTTCTTTTCCCCAAATATGTCTGCTTACTTTTTGCTTAGAGATGTTTCTATATACCTTACCCCACTCATGTTCATGTGTCCTAATTGTGTAAGCCAGCCTACTTTCCATTTTAAACACAAAATCTAAGATTACATTAAAAAAATAAAACACCACTGGGGCTAACAATTCAAGTGCCTACTTGTTCAGTCATGCTGATTTTTTTATTGCCTTCTTTGGTATTTTATAATTTGTTTTTTTGTCTGTTTAGACTTTAAAATGCCTGGGTTTGTAATTGTTATAGCCTTCATACACATAATATTTGTACTACACTGGATGAATAGTTCTATTGCTTGATTTTAATAGATGCAAACATAGACACAGCACATGGGCTGTTTTCATAAATAATGCGTTAATTGTTTTATTGTATTTTTAAATTTTGAGGTTTTTTTATACATCTGATTCTTTCCCACTCACCAAGACATTTCAGAAAAATATGTCCTGGATTCTCCCTACATTATCAAAAGACTATTATTAATGATCTCCTCCATTTGCAATAGATCCTGTTTGAAAAGTGCAACAAAATTGCGGAAGGCATCTGAAGTTTCTGGCTTCTGCTAGGATGAAATTATTATTGGAAGCCTATCTTCATATTAATTTTTAATCTTTTTCTAACATTATCTTCCATATGAAGATTAAAGCCAAAATTAAGTATGGTGTCAGTTTCACAAAGGTTTTCTTAATCTTACTTTCAGAGTGTTCTGGAATTCTACTTAAAAATACTATTTTCTGTACTGTGCTGAGTTAACTCCAGGGCAGTGTCCCCAGATCTTTCTCTCTCTTAAGGCATGGCCAGCAGTGCATTTTTATGTGCCCTGAAAGTCTCCAAAATAGCTGGTGATTGTAATCCACCTAAAAGCCACAGACCCCTGTTTGGCCCTGTTTAAGCCTTGAAATGGGAATAGGTAGCTGGGGAGTCTTCTGCCAGCAAACAGTCAGCTTGAGTAGGAAAATGTTAAGGCACTCCGTGTGCATTCACTTACAGAAATGAGTGTAAGGCTGCAGGTAAGTGCATTAATGAAGTGTTCTGCATTTCCTGGGATTGCAGGATGGCTCCTCAGAGGGCTGTTCAAGGCCAGAACAGGATTCAGCTATCTTGCTTTAAGGCTCAGGATAGTTTTCAACCCAAACAGCCACTCCATTCTCTAAAATAAATCTAAGGTAGCATGAAAGCAAACTTTGAAACAAAGTATGGAGAGTTGTTTGAAGGGGCAATTTAAAAAAAAAAACCACAGAATTGTGGAACAAACAATAAGTAGCAGGGAGTAAGTAGTAGTCTTCAGAATGGAAGAGTTCCCATGTATCAAACAAGAACAGTAAGGTCTAAATGTCTTGCCTCAGCATCCTGAGAATGGAAGGCAAGGACTGGAATTTGATTCAGAAAGCCTGAACAGGGTTGTTGGGACTATGGCACTGTAGTTGTGAGGGTGCCTAACAAATAAAGAGAACATGAAGAATAAACATGGAGTTTGAAAGTTAAGAAATAGGCCAGAGAGGAGGATTTGCTTATAGGCAGGATGAGAGGGAATGATATGATAGGTGTTAGGACTTACAAGGGGTGTTGAAAAAAAAGCAAAATTTTGTGGTGCTTATTAATAAGCAAGAAATGGTAAAGTTCTCTAAGTCAAGTGAAAAAAGAGATGCAGAATGCTGGGGCTGTGAGCCTGTAGAAAAAGAACTGATGGAAGCTGAGAGATCTGAGGAGAGGAGATAATTTGATTTAGGAGAGAATAAATTGGAATTTCTTCATCCAAGAAAGGGATTGGCTGAGAAGCCACGTGGAGAGGTAAGAATTAATAATTGGAAATAGGACATAGGCTTACAAAGAGAGAGATTTAGAAATTGCTTGGAATTAAGGAAGTTGAAACTCTGGGCATTAATGATCTGACTAGGAGCACATGTGTGGGTGATACAGATATTTTCCATTCTAGTTTCTATAAATACTGGAATCTTATTTTAAGATTCTGTATTGCCATTTGTAGGATGTGGATAAATTTCTCTATTCTAAATGGAAAATACAAACTGTCAACATTTTAAATAAAAAAAATCTATTAATTTAAAGTTTTAAACTTTAATAACTAATTGTTGGTAATTCAACAGTTCATAACATAATTAGTAAGAATAAAACTACCTCAGAAAATAGCAGTAGTCCACATATTTCTGGAAACAAGACATAAATAAATGGTTCATATCCCAAAAATCAGTGCAATGCAGTATCCAGAACAAAGAGGGTTTTGACAGATGCTGCCAAGACAATCTCTGACCTCTATGTCAGCCCAAAAGATTTCATAGTATATACTAAGAGGAGAGATTGCTGTTGTTCAGAGTGAGTTCTAGTAAATAATAGTGAACTTCTACAAAAGCAAAACTAACTTTTCAATGCATTTGAAATTTTTAGGTTTTGTCATAGAAACCTAGAAAAAAATATCATAGGGAAGATGTAAGGCAAAAGTGAAAAGAAATAAAAATAGAGTTACTCCCTGCTCAGAAAGGATTGTTCTTTGTGAGGAAAAAATAAGGAGAGGAACTGAAGATGAGTTCAGGACAGTGCATATTGTCTGAAGGAGTATTTCCTGAAAGTAAAGAAAAAAACCAGAAACGAAAACAAGCAAACAAAGTAACCAAAATGAGAAACCTGTAAGTATGCAAATGCAGGTTCTGCTACAGAGGTTTCTTGGGTTTTGACATAATTTAAAAAATGTTTTAAAATAATTAGTTCAAAAAAAAAAAATAATATAAATTTGGGTTTCAACCAAAATAGTAGGACTTTTTCAAAACAGTTCTCTCAATTTCACATGCAGATAAGGGAAAAAATATGGAAAAAATAGAAGGCACCCTCCAAAATGTTATAGTCAAAGTTTGGAAATGCATTAATTCTCTCCTAGAAGGGATGGGCTTGAGTTAATGAGTTGGTGAGAGGACTGAGGTATTTTTATACAGTTGTCTGCCCTGAAAAAGGCATACTGTAGCAATAATTAAGGAAGACCATCTTTGAAGTTCTTAATTTGTTAGGTGTAAGATACCTGCTCCTGCATTAGAAAGAGGAATAAGGATTTAGTTTTAAAGGTGGGGTTTTTTTAGCATAAAAAGCTTAAAGTAATTTGAGGCATCAGCAACTGAGTATTGAAAAAATAGTGATGTAAGCAAGCCCTATGTTGTTTTTCAATAGACTAAATCCTCTTACTGCTTCTAATAGAGAATGTAGTATTTGACCTGGTAATTTTATGGAAAAATGTTGATTTATTCTTTTTAGATTAATATTGCTATGTGTTTTTTATCAGGTGAAAAGCCATTTCGTTGTGATGAATGTGGTATGAGGTTTATTCAGAAGTATCACATGGAAAGGCACAAAAGAACTCACAGTGGAGAGAAGCCTTACCAGTGTGAATATTGTTTGCAGGTAAGATGACTTAGTGATTGAAAACCAAAACACCAGTTAATTCCCCAGTATTGCAGATGGGGCTTTCTCCATTTTATACTGATAAATATATAATGAATGTTTTTTTCTGTCAAGATGGGCTGTCTTGGTGCACAGGTGGAGCAGAGTCACAGCTGGCTGTGCTTGATTTTATTGACTGTATGCTCGTTTGACACTGTGAATCAGCAAGTGAAATCATTAGAATGAAAGGTTTCTTTTCTTTCTGCTAACATATTTATTTTTTCATAATAAGAATGATAATAGTAATAGTAACAATAATCCTAATCACCACTATCATCTTTTCCAGTATTTCTCCAGGACTGATCGTGTGCTGAAACACAAACGTATGTGCCATGAGAACCGCGAGAAGAAACCCAACAGAAGTGCCACCAAAGTTGGCTTTTTGCCATCGGAGGAAGATTCTGGTTTCTCTACGCCTCTGAAAGACAGCTCCTTGCCAAAGAAGAAAAGGCAGAAAACAGAGAAAACAAAATCTGGGGATAAAGAAAGTTCAGATAAATCAGAACACAAGAAGGACAAAAATGACTATTTGCCTTTGTACTCCTCTAGTACTAAAGTAAAAGATGAATACATGGTAGCGGAATATGCTGTTGAGATGCCACATTCTTCGGTCGGTGGATCGCACTTAGAGGAAGCAAATTCTGGAGAAATACACCCACCGAAGCTCGTTCTCAAAAAGGTCAACAAGAGGAGTCTAAAGCAGCCACTTGAGCAAAGTCAAACCATTTCACCTTTATCTACATATGAAGACAGCAAGGTTTCAAAGTATGCCTTCGATCTTGTGGATAAGCAAAGTTTACTGGACTCTGAAGGTAATGCTGACATCGATCAAGTCGACACATTACAGGAAGGGCCCAGTAAACCTGTACACAGCAGCACTAATTATGATGATGCAATGCAGTTTTTAAAGAAGAAGAGGTATCTACAAGCAGCTAGCAACAACAGTCGAGAATATGCCTTGAATGTAAGTACCATAGCATCTCAACCTTCAGTAACGCAGGCAGCTGTGGCCAGTGTCATTGATGAAACTGCTACAGCCTCAATACTAGACACGCAGGCACTGAATGTTGAAATTAAAGGTAACCATGACAAAAATGTCATTCCAGATGAGGTACTGCAGACTCTGTTAGATCATTATTCACACAAGGCTAATGGACAGCATGAGATCTCTTTCAGTGTGGCTGACACGGAAGTGACCTCCAGTATATCCATCAATTCCGCTGAAGTATCTGAGGTGACTCAATCTGAGACGGTCGGAACAAGCTCTCAAGCTTCCTCATCAGATAAAGCTAGTATGTTACAAGAATATTCCAAGTTTTTACAACAAGCTTTGGACAGAACTAGCCAAAATGATGCCTATTTGAACAACCCGAGCCTTAATTTTGTGACTGATAACCAGACTCTTACAACCCAGCCAGCATTTCCTTCCATGGAGAAGGTCTACACATCTATACCCGTCAATAGCTTTCGGTCGGGAATGAACTCTCCATTAAGAACAACTCCAGACAAGTCTCACTTTGGACTAATGGTTGGTGATTCTCAGCACCCTTTTCCCTTTTCAGGTGATGAGGCAAATCATTCTTCTTCCTCCTCCACACAGGACTTCTTGGATCAAGTAACTTCTCAGAAGAAAGCAGAGGCACAGTCTGTTCATCAAGCATATCAAATTAGCTCCTTTGAGCAGCCCTTTAGAGCTCAGTACCATGGGGCAAGAGCTGGAATATCCTCTCAGTTTAGCACTGCCAATGGACAGGTGAACCTTCGGGGACCAGGGACAAGTGCTGATTTCCCAGAATTTCCCTTGGTGAATGTAAATGATAGCAGAGCTGGGATGACTTCTTCACCTGATGCCACAACGGGCCAGACTTTTGGCTAAGAAATCTTTGTAAATAATACTGGCACTTTAGAACACATTTGTCAAAAGGGGGTTGCTCTGTATAAGATGGAGTTCTGTACAGCTTTTAAGAGCGCTATGTTAAAACAAAAGTAAGCTGATATTAGCAAGACCAATAACTGCTTCTTTTTCTCTTTTTTTCTTTTTTAAAAATTTTTTTTCGTTAGCCATCAGTCATTGAGCTGCCTGATGTTGGTGCCCCTATAAAAGGCAGTTTATTATTCAGTTGTTTGAATCCAGAAAATATTTTACCTTCTATGAAATTTTAAAATAAAATCCCCAGGTAAGACTTTCCCCCATGATTGTTTCCTTGCTGGTTTCCTTGTATGCTTTGGGAGGACAGTTTATTGTCTGATACTATTCACATTGTCATTTCTAAGCTTGTCAGCATAGTCATTGCTCTTCAGCAGGGAATCAAGGTCTACTAAACACACAGAACAAACAAGTAAGTTTCAGAAGTCAAACAAATATGGCTTTAAAAGAAAGCATTTTCTAGAACAATCTTCAGTCTCTCTCAAAAATAATTTGAGACCATGTGCCCTTTATTTCTGCTTTGTATTACCTTGAGTTGTGTTTGGAGGGAAAGAAAATGAATTCTGATAGACTAAATCTACTATTTAAAAGTCTAATTAATTTAAAATACTTTAAACACTTTTTTAAGCAAAATGCCTAACTGCTAAAGCCTTTACTTCATTCCCGAAGTAATGTGTATTTCTTTGTACAGCTGAATCTAGATGTAACTTTTTAATGACTTTTTCATATGCAGAAACCGAGATTTTGAAGTTTTAGTTAAAATACTCTGTAGATGACATTCCCAATTGCAAAATGCTTACACAAACAGTGTATTCCAAGATTTAAAAGCTGAATTGTACCTTACCCTACCTACTCATAACGATTAACATAGAGCACTTAGCCAACTTTATAGTTTTTGATTTCTCAAAAAAATAAAACCATTTTTAGATGTTTAGGTTTGATACGGTTGCTTCATTTTCATCTCATACAGCAGCTCCAGTAATTCTTTTCCATATAATTGAGATTGGGTATTTTTAGCTTCTGTAAAAACTGTTCTAATTCTCTGTCTAGAATTTTGACAATTCCAATTACTAAATTTATTGAAGTATCCCTGAAAGCTGAAGAAGTGGGCATTTGATTTCCCTATTTTTTAGTGTTTGCTTAGTAAAAGTCACTACAATTTTACCAACCCAAACTGGTGAATGATGCTAGTGAATGGGATTTCTTTTTCCAGCCTAGGAGAGTGATCAGAAGTTTTCATTGCATTTCACAGTATAAATAAACTGCAAAGTTTATCCCTGTACCATGAATATGTTTTTTTGAATAGTACTTTGTCTTGAAGTATACAGTATGGTACGATAAGTAGTTCTGTGTGCATTTTTAAGGTGGTAAGATTTGAGTAGCCTAACTATTGTGTAGTTTAAGTTAACAAGTTTCAGATTTTTGAACTGTATGTTCATTCTATTGCACCTTCCCTAAAGGGACACTGTCTGGTAGTTCAAGGCAGTTTAAGCCTCATGTAGGCTGATTAACCAGGGAAAAACACACACACACACACACACACACACACATACACATACAGGTAGGTGTGTATATGGTGGTTTTAAAAATAGGATTTCATCCAAGTTTTTGCAGCACTGTTGCTAGCTGGTGTCTCTTAGACAAAGCCATCAGGTAGGAGAAAAGATTGCATCTCAAGGGGCTAAAATACATCCTGTATTTTAAGAAAGGACTTGAACAGGACCCACCTCTTACCAAAGCAGTAGCAATATTTTTCTGAACTTTCATTACCAGGAAACTCATCCCACTTTGTCTTTTCCCTTATGGTAGCACTACTACAGCACCAACTTCACTTGGTACAGTTGAGGGAGAAAGGGCATTTATTATCCATAGCCTGCTTCTTCTATTGGCAAGTATACAGTTTATATGAACTAATTTCTTAATTATTTTGTATAAGAAAGCAGGCTCTTTTGATTTGTTGGCCCTGTGTATACTAGAGTAAGGCATTTCCGCATGCTATGACTTACCAGTAATTTTTTCTGAATATTTGGCCACCATTTGAAAAGGGTGGGCATCAAAGAAGTTAATTCCATATGGATTATTAATGATACATGTAAAGAAATTTTTTTGAAAGAATATTTTTGAACTGATTCGTGGTCTCTCTGTTTTTCTTCCTTTATGGTCAGTTCGGTGTTTTGACTTTCCATTCTGTGTTGCCCAGAGAAAACATAAAGGGTCCCTATATCCCAGGAAACCACCTCTTGTAAGGCATACTTTGTTTTCAGTGTTCATTTCCATGACATCCTAGCTTGTGGTGCCTGAATAATACTGTGTTGGCACTTTTGTTCCTATTTGCAAGGAGATGGCAATTGTACTATTTGTTAAATATAGCAAGGAACAAAAGGAAAAAAAAAAAGGTGGGGCCATTACTGTGTTACTGCACTGCTGTGGGCCCATAGGGAGGTAAGAGGAATGAAGCCTCCTTCTCCCTAAGGGGACTGACTCAGCTTTATTTAAAAAAAGTTACTGCATTGACACTCTGGTGTGAGAATGTCACTGAGGACTCAGAGGGAGTGGCTCTCCTATGCCATCCTCACACGTGGAAATCACTCCTAGGGTGTGTGAGGGAGCAGGCTGCTGTACAGACTGAAGGAACTTGCTCTTCTCTGCAGCCAAACTGGGATCACCAGAGGAACTGCTCTTCCTTACACCACAATTCATTCCCCAGCCTGCTGCTGAGCCATTCCAGCTGCACTCTGTGCCTTAGGACAGGCTGTGAAGTCCCGTCTAAGCCACAGGGACTGGCTTGTAGGTTCTTCCACGCGTACAATTAAAGCAGTGGTGTGAGTAGCTGATCTGCTGATGCTTGAAGCTTTCTGCACTGGAGGAGTTAGCCAAATATACTGCTGTGATTTCCTGAGTACATCCCCTTTTATCCTGGAATAAGTGTTTATGTAGTTCTGGGAGGTTTACCTCTGTAAAAAGCTCTTGCTTGTTTAATAATGGCATTATTTAATAACGTTTTTCACTGCTCACATTTTGCTGCTTTTAATCTGCTGCAGATGCACAGTCTTCATGTTGATCTGATAATTTTTGTTAATTTTCTCTGTATGTCTGGAAAAAAGCAGCTTTGGTTGTCTGTTCTGTTCTTGTGCTGTCAGTATAAGGCTGGGGTGAGCGTGGAGATTCCCCTGAGCTAACAGCAGGCATTCTTACCTAAGGGTCGTGCGAGCACCGGATATGTGTGTGTGTGTAAGGTGGAATTTTTGGGGATATCTACTAGTGATAGTGCAGTGATAATTTTGAAAAAGAGGAAATTGATAACATTTATTACCAAGTTCTTTCTCTCTCTCTACACACACACATATATATATATATATACAAAATACATGTATATATATATATATATATATATATACACACATGCACTTATTAATAGGCCATATTTTGGTCCTAAATTACTTGACAGTGTCCCTTTTAGCATGAATCTTTTGATATATTTTACCATTAATGTAACAGACAATGAAGGAATCAGCTTGTAATGGTATACTAATAGGCATTTACATTTTCTTCATTTGATTTGAGAATGAATTAATCATAAATGATGAGTTTTGGGGAGAAGGATTAACCATGTGTATTACTGTATGTTGGTTTACGAATAACAGCATAAACAATTTAAATTGGATGATAAAAGAACCATGTTTATGATCTCGTGTCTCCTAGTGTTGTCTTTAGGAAAATTGTGTTTCAAGAGGAAAATAGGAAAAGAAAGTATTCATGTGAAATAACATTTGTATTATTTTTATATTGTACTTGTCAGTTTTTTTGGATGATGGGAGCTTTTCATTGTTAATTGAGAAGTACAGTAAAATCTTGCTAATTCGCTGACCTCTAAACAGAGCATCTGACAGGTTTCTACATCCCTCATGGTCCTTTCCCACCTCTCTGCAATGGTCTAAAAAGTACTGTAGCAAGGTCTCACACAATAACACTGTACTACTTCACCCAAGTATACTACAGCATCTATATTAGTATACTGGGAAGTAGAAGGAGAATTGAAAACTAAATTGCAGTTGTCAAAATAAATGAACAAAGTACATTTTGTGATGTGACATCCTTGCTTTTGTTGCCTGCTTCTTCACTATTTTCAAAATTGTAATTTGTAAAGGGTTTCTAAGGCATTGCTGCGAATTATTTGGGTTCTACTGTAACTTTTGGAGTTCATTCCAAAGTATTCATGTTCTCCTATGAAAACTTTCCACCTGAACAGATCCGTTATATTCCATGCTTGATCAGAGTATTTTTATAGTATTTGTATCATATGTAGTAACTATTTGAAATGAACCAGAATATTTGGATGAATTCACTCTGAATTTTGCAGCATTGGATTACATTATGTATGTATATTTGCTAACTAAATTTTCTTGGCTTTGAGAGCTTTGATTTTTATTCTTTGTTTGCTTGTTTTAATACCATTACAAATTGCAGGGAAAATCCTAATACTCCTGGGAATCCGTTTGGAAATGTTAACAGGCAGAAATATGTTTATGTAGTCAGTACCAGTACACATGTGAACTTTCAAATTACATGGTTGGTACTGAAGCAAATGAATAATGTTACAGTTTACTAGAGTTAAATGTTTTTCCTAAAATGAAACCTTGTAACTTTGAAAGTTCATTGGACTTAGGGTAATGCATGTTTATGTTAGGCATGTAATGCATTTAGCTGAAACTCACTTTGCAAAGGACAAGCACTAAGAAAGTATTACTGCTAATGAAAAGACATGTCTTTAATTTGAAATTGAAACTTCTGTTCAATTTGCTTTGTGTCAGGGAAATAAATTTATAGTCGCTTTTGCTCTACTAAACATACAAAACCTTCTGTTTCCTTTTTAAAATTACATCTCTTGGCAGGAAACACAAACTGAGGCAAGCAAACATTTCTAAGAGTTGTTTCTTGCTTTCCTTAATCCAATGGATGGAAAGGTAATATTGTGTAAACAACATTATTTTATTTTTTTATGCAATATCATGCTGTAAATATGATTTATCAAATAAGGATGTACCTATGATTGAATCTTTGATTCTGCACAGCTAGAGTTTATATA